CACACACATATATATATATAGAAACACATAAAGGATACGTATAAGATATAGACAAACGTGTAGTGTATGAGGCAGTGAGAGAGAGAGATATACACATTTAGCTACGAGATCGTGTTTAGTGTCTTCAGGTGTATGTAGGTGCTGGGCTTGAGGTTCAGGGAGGCGGAGATGCGGCCCGAAGCCCGGGGAGTGGCCTCCCAACAGAGATCCTGGCTCTCACGCCCTTGCAGGTTTAGGGTCAATATGGCATATTGAATATCATGGTTTATCCTAGGGTATGATGGGACACGGGGTATTCTGCGGTATGCTTGAACCCACTACAGATTCAGATGCAGATACGCTGAAACACGCTTGGTCGCTTTCCCGAGCTTTGCTATGCCTTGTATTCATGTTGAGCAGCCGCTCCAGGGCATCGGGGATGGCGAACTCAGCATCGATCACCGAAATGATGGCTATTTCATCGAACTCCAAGGACTGACGACGAATGGGAAAATAGAAGAAGTAAGATGGGTCTTGATCCTTCATCCAAGGAGGAGGGCTCAGGTGGCAGCGTAAGCATGCAAATCAGGCCGTTGAGGAAAAATCACAGCTAGGGCTCGCTGATGCAAACTGTGCATCATGTTCCGCTCCCCGTTGGCTGGAGGAGATGATGATGCTCGACACGGCTGCCTCAATCATAGTCGTTCTGACCCATTGCTTAATATGAGGTTTTTTGCTTGCACACGGGGGCCTCCCACACATTTAGATGGTCACAGTGATTTTGCGTAGCCTCCATCGTCGATCTTGCATCCGGCCAACAGTGGTTCTCACTCTCTTGCGAGGCATTTCAGTATGCGCACTTGAGGCGCCGGGCCTAGCCCCCACACACAAGCATCTATCCACATGAGAGACCACGAGTGAGTGAGTGAGTGAGTGAGTGAGTGAGTGAATGAGTGCATAAATGAGCGAACGAGCGAACGAGTGGACGACTCTTCCCCACTACATCATGGCAGAATAAAAAGCGTCGCCCGAACCTCCCCCAAGCCTCGCAGCCGGATTGTATTTGGGAACTTGTCTCCGGAACAGATGCTGCGTGATCCCTTACAAAGGTGCTGAGGCGGGGCACAAGCTCAAACACACAGCTCGTTCCAACGCCCACGCTCTTGTGTGAGCCTTCGAGTACATCCCCTGCGCTATGGGCCAGGGACTTTCTTCGTGCGACCGATCAGACAGCACCAAGTTACAGGGGTGTGAGGTGTAAAACGTGTCGGGATGTCGGGTGCTTGATCAGGGTCTTGTTCAGTCGGGCAGCCTAAGGAACACGATGGAGCTGGCTTTCGAGTTGGAATGTGAAGGTCATTCAATCGGAACGCATGTCGGGATACCCGACGGAATGCAGTGTGACGATATTGGGCCGCTCTTTGTGGCCGGCATCTTAAGACCAAGACCGGACCCGTTCGACTTTCTGGGGACTGTCCCAGGATTTCTCGGACAAGTCAGGTCTTGAACCATATTTTCCAACTTGCGTATACCGTGGAGCTTATATCCAGGCTGTGGTATCACAGGCAGGCTGGCGTACACATTGGGAAGGGCTTATGTGCAACTGTTGGTTCGTCGGCCTGGTGCAGGTGGTGCTTCTTCTCTTCGTGCGCAAACTTGTTTGACACGTTGCTGGTGCTAATTGGTGCTGTGGATGTCTATGTCCTGGGCGTTATTGCAGAAAGAAGCTCGAGTTCAGAATTGATGCAGTTGTTGCGGATATTGAAGCTCGTGCCAAGCTCAGATCCCTTTTGGCACGGTCCGTGACATGTTTGAAAAGTACGTTGCTCGATGCTAGTTGCTGAACTCTTGCGTGGTAAGGGACGAGTGGTTCGGCTCGGCAGGACTTTTCACCTCTTTCCAGGCCGAGCAAGTTAGCAAGTCTGATTAGTTGAGCACGTCGAAGCCTAAGAGCCAAAACATCATTTCGGCAGGTCTCCGGTTGCTGGTGCATGCTTGCACCTCCTTTCTACCGGCGTTGGGATGGTCCATGGTGCTCCTGGGGCTGTGCATCACGATGGGTGGCCTCACGATGGGGACTTTGCCACCTGCTTAAGTCTTTAGCAGTCGCGTGATGTTGTAGGACTTGGTGAATGCAGCGACCACTTGATGGCTGTTGCACGCACTCGTCAACTAAGATTTGCCACGCTACATGTTTCGCACAATCCTGACATAGATATGACTGTATGTGCTGAGCGGTGAGGTCAGCAGTCCTCACTGTATCAGAAACCTGCATTTCCCATTTGGCGCCTAGTAGCTGGTGCGGGCGGACATATGCGCGCATGGGGCATTGCTCAAGGCTCCAGGACTTCATTATGGACGAGAGCAAGCCGATGAGTGACCGCCTGTGGGTGTGGCTTCACTATGGGACTGCTTACCGTTCCATGTACACACTGCCACCCGGACTTTGTGACAACCTGGCCTGCTTGTGCCGGCTGTTTCTCTACAGCTTACTGATGACGACGGTGGTGGTTTTGGTCCTGCTACGTTGCAACTACTGTTGTTGATGATGGCGCTGTTGCTGCTTGTGCTGTGGCGGGTGACAATGAGCACGGAAGTCATTGTTCAGGTGGTAGTGGGGATATGTTGAGCTGGTGATGCTAGTGGCAGTGCGGTGCAACTACTCTTGCCTAGGATCGTGGCGGTAAGCTGTCATCTAAGACCAACGGTCACCAAGACTGGCTTCTACATGCTAGCAAGTTTTGGCAGGCTGATGCAGGCTGCCATAACCTGTACCTCTCGCTTGTGCTTGAAGGGAGGTCAGCCTTGCTGATGTGCATGAGCTTGCAGTTCTTGCCGCGTGCAGGAATCTCGCTAGAGAGCATGCCATCACCTTCACTAGGGTGCAGCCTCTACAAGTTCCGCGCGTAAGGTATGAGGTGACATTTGCCGGATCGTGGCCTACCTATGCACGACCAGCGCCATGGTCATGCTTCGTTGGCTCTGCCAAGACAAACTGTCAGCGAGGGCAGGTAGCATGCATTGGCAGCCTCAGGATTATGAGGATGGGGCGGAGGGAGGAGTTTTAATGTTCGATTTTCTTTTTTGTCACCTGAGGTGCTTGAGAACGTGAGTCACATTTACGTTTTGTTCTTCCTGCTGTACATCACATTCATTGTTTTTGCTGCCCAGCACTGAGAAGAGATTGCCCACGAGCTTCGGTCTAGTAGAGACTCAGAACAGCGCAGCCCGGTGGCTTCAGGTCATTCGAGTAATCTCGGCGGTATTCCTGAGTCAGACATTGGAAGCTGCGAGTAGCGATGCGGAGATGATGATCCAG